CTCTGCAGTGAATGGGTGCCGTCAGAATGAGAGTCCAAACAGCTGATAAAAACATCACAATAATCCACAAGTAACCCACATCACTCCAGTCCATCAATTAATGTCTTGTGAAGCAAAAGCATGTTTGTAAGAAACAAATCCATCATTAAGATGTTTTAACTTTAAACCATCATTTCTGGCCAATAAAACAAGTTCATAATACATAATAACGCTTCCTCCATTGGAAAAGTCTATTGCCTGCATGTTGTCTCTCACATTAAAATTCACCCACATATTTTTTTAGAGCTGTTTTGGACTGTTTTTGATTGTAAACGGTTCTTGATCTGTGATATTTCTCTCCTAAATCAGACCAGGTGACTTTTTCAGTGGAAAGAGCAATATTATGGACTCATATTTTAGCCAGAAGCAACAGTTTGAAGTTAAAAACTTCTTAATGATGGATTTGTTTCTTACAAACATGCAGCTTTTCACTTCTCAAGATGTTAACTGATGGACTGGAGTGGTGTGGATTACTTGTGGATTATTGTGATGTTTTTATCAGCTGTTTGGACTCTCATTCTGACGGCACCCATTCACTGCAGAGCATCCATTGCTGAGACAGTGATGCAATGCTACATTTCTCCAAATCTGTTCCCATGAAGAAACAAGCTTGGATGGCCTAACGGTGATTCAGTTTTCAGGAAATTTTCATTTTGGGTGAATTATTCCTTTAATATATAGTATTAGTTTTTCTTTTTTTTCAGAGGATTTGAAATGGACTCTGGCAGACCAGTGGCTGTTAAGGAAGTGTCTCGGCAGCGTGAGGGGAATCCAGAGATTTCGTTCGTTTCTCAAGACCACTGCTGGTGTGAGACTGCACTGATTTACACTGAATTCCTTTTAAATTCATTCAGCATCCAAACCAGTTTAATTTTACAAGACCTCCAATTCTGCAGTTAGACTCAAGTTTTTACATCAGATTTACATATAAAATGAAAACTAGTAGAGCCAATAGCTTTGCTTTCTGCCCTCCATACTGTCCCAACTGAAGATAGGCAAAAATGCCAAAATAAATGAATGAAAACGAAATTTTGCCAGTGCTTATGCTACGTGTGTAATGTGTTTTCGAGCAGAGGAGGAGCTTCTTCTGTTCTGTGTGAGAGTGTCCATGATGTTGAGTATGAAAGAAGAAAAAAATGAAGATGCGTTTCAGACTTCGAATCATCAAGCACTTCAGAAAGCGATCAGACTCTCTCACCTGAGTGAAGGCTCTGCCATCCTGTCTGTCTGCCATATAAACGCAGGTAAGGCAGTGCATGTGTTTCTCTCCTCTTCCCTTAAATACCACACTATTTCTGTTCTACTGTTTGTAGGATTACACTACCATAAGTTTGGGGTCGGAAGGATTTGTTAATGTTTTTGAAAGAAGAGTCTGTTCTGCTCACCAAGGCTGCATTTATTTGATCAAAAATACAAAACAAATATTAATTGAAAATTATTACTTATTTCTTTCTATGTGATTATATTGTAAAATGTAATTTATTTCTGTGATCAAAGCTGAATTTTCAGCATCATTACTCCAGTCTTCAGTGGTCCTTTAGAAATCAATCTAATATGCTCATTTGGTGCCAGATTTTTTATTTTAGTATTATTTATATACTATTATAACTTTTATTAATATTATGAATTAGCTGTTATTTTATATTTGTAGTTTTCATTTTGATTTTAGTTTATTTTTAGTAACATTTTATGTGCCTTTGTCAGTTTTTGTTTTAAATATAAATCTTTTTAAATATTACAATTTAGGTTTAATGTATTTTTATTTCAGATTTAGTTCCGTTTTAGTTTTTATTTATTTCCAGTTAGTGATTTTAGTGCTTCAAATTAATTGTATTTCAGTTGGAATTTTTAATTTTCATTTAGTTTAATTCATTCCTTTTTTCCGTATTTATATTTTATTTTATTTCAGCTTTATTTCAATTAACAAAAATAGTTGTAATATTTTTAGTTTTAGTTTGTGATGATAACCCTGTTTGCTGCTCAAGAAACATTTCTGATTATTATCAATGTTGAAAACAGTTGTGCTACTGAATATTTTTGCGGAAACCCTGATAAAAAAAAAATATCAGGATTCTCTGATGAACAAAAAGTTCAAAATAATAGCATGTATTTGAAATAGACATCTTTATAATATTATACATGTCTTTACTGTCACTCTTGATCAACTTAATGTGTCTTTGCTGGGAAAAAAGTTTTAATTTCTTTAAAATAATTCTTTCTTACTCCAATCTTTTGAACGGTATAATGATTTTTTTTTTGTCTTTTAATTTCGTCCGTACTAATTACTGAATATTTCAACATATTGTATTTTTTTTTTTAGAGGACATGACTGAGCTTCTGGCCAAGGAACACCCACTTAGTGCTCAGAAGCGTGTTTTGGCAGAGATGAGAAAGAAAGCTCTGTGCCGGCTGCAGTCGTATTGGCTTCCTCAGTTCATACACTGCTGTAAATCCTGGCTGTGGCGTGTGCCTGAATGTCAGCCCATTGTAGAGAAATACACATCTTTTTCCTCTCCTCCTGCTCCATCGCCCTCCTCACGTGAGCGTGTCCGGTGCAAGACGAATCCCACGCTGAGCCCTGCTAAATCCTACTGCAGTAAACGCAGCAAACGGCTCCTGTGGAGTTCATGTAAGCCGAACACAGTCCGTTCACAGTCCAACAGCATCTGCTTGTGGCTTCCTCCAGCCGGCCAGGAGGATCTAAAGTGTTCAAACATAGCACATCCTCCTCAAAGTAATACAGAAACCTCTGTCCAAGCTATTGTCCATCACACATGCGCCCAAACCCCAGCATGTCAGATCCCCTGCCGTGTGAACGTTCATACTCCACCATCAGATGTCCACTGCTATCTGCAGCCGGCCCTGTCTGCCGAGGCTCTGGCTGCAGGTCCTTTTAGGTCTTATCTGAGAGCCCAAGACCTGGTGGAAAAGCAGCAGATGCTGGATCTCTTGGAGGATCTGGACTTTTTCCTCCAGCTGGTTCTGAAAGCACAAGGAGAAGATCCAGCCTGCGCACAGAGACAGACCGCGGCCAAGCGGATAATAGAGAAGTACCTGAAAGAGAACATGCCGTGCTGTGAACGACTGGATTCAAACACCAGCCACCATCTGCGTTCTCTTTTACCCAGCAGTGCGGCTGTCCCATGGATTTACAGGGCTAAATATGAAATATGCAAGGTAAATGTCACTTAAATGAGTTCATCATGAAATCAAAATGTACTTTCTTAAAACATGTCCTTGGTCTTATTGTGTATGATTCAACTTCAGTGTGCATTATTCTATACAGTGTTTGAGTTAATAAGTATTCATCAGAATGGATCAGATTGTAACATTTGAAATTATTTTCCATTTTGGCTAATGTTAATAATCTCTCACCTGTCATATAGAGATACTCACATAAGACTTTACATTTATATTTGGCTGATGATTTTAATCCAAAGCATCTTACAATGCATTCAAATTTATTTTATTTTATTTTTTTACATAATTCATGCATTCTCTGATCTTCGCTTAATGCTTTTAGGACCTTGACAGCCACTGCTCACCATTAATTTTCATTATAAAATGAATTGTCCATTGTCCAGAAACACAATTTCTGTAAGATTCTGTTTTGAAAGAAATGAAAACTTCTTATTCAGCAAGAACACATTAAATTGATTAAAAAATACAATATATTTATAATGTTACAAAAGATTTCTAATGTTCTTTTGAACTTTCCATTCATCAAAGAATCCTGAAAAAAATGTATCACAGTTTCCACAAAAAATATTCGGCAGCACAACTGTTTTCAACATTGATAATAATCAGAAATGATTCTTGAGCAGCAAATCAGCATATTAGAATGATTTCTGAAGGATCATGTGACACTGAAGACTGGAGTAATGAATGATGCTGAAAATTCAGCTTTGATCACAGAAATAAATTACATTTCAACATATATTCACATAGAAAAAAGCTATTTTAAATTCTAAAAATATTTCTGAATTTTACTGCATTCTTGATCAAATAAATGCAGCCTTATGCTTCTTTCACAAGCATAACAAAAAAGCAAACATTTGAATGGTAGTGTATTTTTTAAGTGATAAGATCTGGCATTTGTTCTATTTACAGGAACTACAAGATGTTTATGACTCATTTTTAGATGCAGAGGATAAAGCTCTAGTGTCTCACCTGGTGAGTGACCTAAACTAATGCCTCGAACCAGTGGATGCTTTCACTGCAGTTTCCAGGAACCTTTTCCCATGTCCTTCAGTGCTCTCGCAGTGAGAAGATTGAAGAAGAGCTGCTGTTCTGTGGTTTCGAGACAGAAACAGAAGCTCACTTCACTCAGACGGAGGCGTTAGTGTTGTGTGGAGGATGCTGCAGTCGTCTCGACCCCGACGCTCTGTCTCAGGACAGCTGGGCTTTAGTGGCCCTGCAAGACCTGCAGAGAGGAGGATCGCTGCTGCACAAGTACAACACAGGTGAGAACACACAGTACACTGGCCTCTTTCAAGACCTCTCACAATGACCCACTTTCTCTGGCTTGTATTGGGCAGATGCATCCGAGGAGCCGTCGACCACAACAGAGAGTGATATTACAACACCCCTCACTCAAGGTACTGCATATGTGAAATTTTCATTGTCAAAACGTTTGAGACAACTTTTATGTTTAAACTGTGTGTGTGTTCGTTTTAGCAGACTGTATACAAACCTACTTTACTGTATGCTTCACTTCCAGATGTGCCCGAATCTAAAGCAAAGTGTTCTAATAATCTCCGGATGAAAACTCTCAAAAAGGACAGCATTATTTTTGAAAAGCCATCTACAAAACCCAGGTGCACCCATGTTTCCATTACCTGACATTAAAGGAACAGTTCACCCAAAAATGAAAATTTGCTTCAAATGTACTCACCGTCTCAGG